CAATTAATTAATTAATTGGATCTGGATCACCACCAAAATTTCATCAATTCTAAGTTAGCCCATTTCTGACCTATCCTGAAAATTTTATGACAATCCGTCCATAACTTTTTCAGTTAGGCTGTACACAAACAAACCCACAAACACACAAACCCACAAACCAACACTCAAACACACGCCGGTGAAAACATAACCTCCGCCAAGCCCCTGGCGGAGATAATTAAAGCACGCTATGTCGAGAAAAGTGCGTGCATTGGGAATTGACACCCGTACGAGAATGGAGCGAGGACCACAACTTGTGCCCATCACGTACTTATATGGATATCGTGAATTGACTACCTATCATTCTAGCCGAGTCCATTTTATACTCTCAAGGACTTTAGGAACCACAAAAGCCTGGATGCCTACGATCGACTGTTCTGCGGTTGGGTTAGTGGTGTATCAGTCTACATCTATCATGTGAACAGTGAGAGTCCCATCTACGTTATCCGAGCACATGTTATGCACTCCCGGGAAGTCTCTGATTATACCATCTCTCTATCCGTGCATGGGTCACGATGAGAGAATATGGGACAGGCATCATGTCAGCACACTGTAATTATAAAGCAGGGCTTGGTGAATTCTGTTCAGGCCATCCTTAAAAAATTATATGTTTGCTGTCCTCCGACCGACCCACGAAAATAGCCGCAACCCAAAAGTTTTTTTTTAAATTTTGTGTTCCACATTTTTATTTATTTATATTTTTATTTTTTTATAGTTAAGACTGAAACACAAAGCATGTGTGGCAAACATGAGGACAGACTTAAAATAACTATTATGCCTCACAAAAAAATGACCTACCTATACTTACCCACTAAAAAAATTATGGGTCGGGGGACAGCAAACATAGAATTTTTTAAGGATGGCCTCACATGTTGCCTCGGTGCTATTTTATGTAGAGTATGCTGCACGTGCAAGAGAAATCACCACCCCCACTCAAACAGTTGCCTACTGGATGCCGGCGATATATGTATTATGTATGTATAAGTGTTTATGTGTAGCGGTGTGTGCCGTGCGTACGGTGTGCCTGTGTGTTGCAGAGGAGCATTTGACCGGCATTTACAGGTAATTATCGGCAATACTAGGCGAAAGAGAGTAAAGAAACATTAAGACATTGGTAGTAAATACATTTCGTGTTTATTCAGCATTACTTTTGAGCTCATCTGACATAGTCAGATGCAGCTTGTAGAATCGCATGAGCGTGCGTCTGTCCGGCCGTGCGTGCGTCCGTCCGTCCGGTGGGTGGGTGGGGGGGGGGGAAATCCAAAAACGAGTTGGGATGTCGAAGCTGGGGGTAATGAAAAGGTCAAAGGTCAAGAGGTGTAAAAGAAGGGGAACATTCCCTCGTTTTTTTTGTTCCCGTAAACTTAAATGTAATTTTACAAAAAGTTTTATTCCTAAAATACATTGAGATAGACCCTAACCCATAATGTTACCAGTGTTTGAAATGATAAATTTATCGTCAGATTTATTTAAAATGCCGAATATTATGATTATCCACGAAACGTCGTATGCTCCAAAGATTTCCGAAGTTATGAAATAGAAACTAGTTCCAATACACAGTCCTCCCTAGTGCACCACTTGTGAGCGTTCACACTTGCCAAACTGTAATTGTACAGCAAAATATTCCTTGTGTTTTATGGTAGCCGGTGATTTCTCAAACGTTTTCTTTCAATTGTTCGAAGGAGAAGGAGGAGGGGGGAGAACTGGTGGAAAGGAGGAGGGGAAAGGGAGAAACGTGGTGTGAGAAGAGGAGGGGAGAAGCTGGTGGAGAATGGAGGAGGAAGAAGGAGAATCTGGTGAGAAGGCATGATGGGGAGAAGCTGTGGACTGGAGATGAGGGGGCGAGAGGGAGAAGGAGGAGGGGGGATAAGCTGGTGGACGAAGGAGAGGGGAGAAGCTGTGGAGAAGGAGGAGGGGGATAAGGAGCGAAGGTGGTGGAGAAGGAGGAGGGGAAGCTGGTGGAGAAGAGGGAAGGCGGGAGAAGGGATGAAGGTGTGAGAATGGAGGAGGGGGAGAAGCTTGTGGATAAGAAGAGGGGGAAGAAGGAGAAGCTGGTGAGAAGAAGAGGGGGAGAAGCTGGTGAGAGAGAGGGGGAGAAGGGAGAAGGAGGATGGGGAGAAGCTTGTGTAGAAGGAGAAGCTGTGAGGAGGAAAGAAGGTAGAAGGGAAAAGGTGGTGGAATAGAAGAGGAGGGGGGAGAAGGGAGAAGGTGGTGGAAGAAGGAGGAGGGAGCAGAACTGGTGGAGGAGAGATGAGAAAGAGAGGGGGAGAAGCTGGTGGACGGAGGAGAGGGAGAAGCTGTGGAGAAGAAGGAGGGAGAAAGGAGAACTTGGTGGACGGAGGAAAGCATGAGGGGAAAGGGAGAAGGTGGTGGATGGCGAAGGAGAGGAGAAACTGGTGTAGAAAGGAGATAGGGATAAGTGGTAGAGAAGAGAGGGGGAAGAAGGTGGTGGAGAAGGAGGAGGGGGAGAAGGGAGAAGCTGGTGAGAAAGAAGGAGGGGGAGAAGCATGGTTGGAGAGGAGAGCGAGGGAGAAGGAGAAGCGAGGAAGGGGGGAAGAATCTGTGAGAGACGAAGAAAGCTGGTGGAGGAGGAAGAGGGGTAGAAGGGAGAAGGGTGGAGAAGAGGAGGGAGAAAGGGAGAAGGTGTTTGGAGAAAGGAGAGGGGGGAGAAGCTGTGGAGCGAGGAGGAGAAGAGAGGGGGAACAAGTCTGGTAGAGGAGCGAGGAGGCGGGAGAAGCTTGTGACGAAGAATGAGGAGGGAGAAGCGATAAGCTGGTGGAGAGGAAAGAGCGGGGAGAGGGAGAAGGTGGTGGAGAAAAGGAGGAGGGGAGAAGCTGTGGAGAATGAGGATAGGATAAAGTTGGTGGAGAAGGGAGAAGCTGGTGAGGAGGAACGAGGAAAAGGGAGCAATGTGGTGGAGAAGAGGAGGGGGAGAAGGGAGAATGGTGGGAGAGAGAAAGGAGGAGGGGAAAAAGCTTGGTGGACGCACGCGAGGAAGGAGAAGGGGAGAAGCTGTGGAAGAAGAAGGCAGGGGAGAAGGGAGAACTGTGGAAGAGGGAAAGAGGGGAGAAGGGAAGGAAGGTGTGGGAGAATGAGGAGGGGAGAAGCTGGATGGAGAAAGGAGAGGAGGGATAAGGTGGTGGAGATAGAGGAGGGAGAAGGTTGTGAGAAGGAGGAGGGAGATAGGGTAGAAGCTGGTGGAAGGAGGAGGGGGAGAAGCTGGTGGAGGAGGAGGATGGGGAGAAGCTGTGGAAGAGGGGAGTAAGGCCACTTCTCTCCCCGTCCTCCTCACTCCAAGAGCACCATGCTTGTTCTCACCCCCTCCTCTTCTCCTTTTCAGCCGTTCTCGCTACCGCACACCTCCTCCTCCACCAGCTTCTCTCTCCCCCTCCTTCTTCCCACCACTGTTCTCCCTTTCTCAACCCCTCCTCCTTCTCCAGCCGCAGCCTTCTCCCTTCTCCCGGCTCCTCCTTCTCCTCCACCACCCACTCCACCTCACCAGCTTCTCCACTGCCTCAACTTCTTCTCTCCAGCTTCTCGGCGCACTTCTC